AGCACTAGCATGAGTAAAGCCCTAGGTTCCACCCCCAGCACTACAGAAAAAGAAAAGAGATCCCAAATAAAGAGAAAAAGGAGTAGCTTTTCGAACGCCCACTACTGTACTATTACTACCTGTCCCTCAGTCCATTTAACACCCACCATAACCACAGAACGTTGGCCAGACGAGAACAGTAGGAGCATGTAATTCCCATAATGTGTTTACCCTACGTCTGCCCACTTCTCTCCACAATCCACAACAGGCAGAAAGGGAAGGCCTTCCCACTTCCAAGTCCTCCTCTTCCCTCCCGGGAGGCAGAAAGCTCTTTAACCTACAGAAGGAACAGTTAAGAGTTTGTCCACAGACGGTATTGATATGGAAGCTGAAGGCAACTTAGTCGTTTCTAAACTATCCCCAGAATACTGTCCTTCAACACATAAACAATCATCATCTGCTGTGTGCTTTGTGTGCTAGAGCAGAAAGGTTACGAAGACCTAGAAAAACAAGATGATTGTAGCGGTGCTGTCTGAAGACGGAGTTTTGAATTTTCATTTATGTGTATCTATGTGTATGTACGCCGTGTGTGAACAGATACCTGCAGAGAGCAGAAGGCGGAATCAGATCCCCAGGAGGTGGGATTACAAGTGTTTGCGAGTGACACAGAGGCTGGGGATCACACCCGGGTCCTTGGGAAGATCAGGAAGTACTCTTAGTAGCCTCTGAGCCATTTCTCCAGACCCTAAAGTGAAATTTCACATTCTGCATTTGACCAGAACAAGCTGAATGTAAACACAGCTCACTTTACAACCCATCTTTTGTAGCAGCAGCACACTAAAAATGTGTACAACAGCAGAGAAAAAACAATACGAATGATCTCAATTCACAATTGCAATGATTCACAATCTCATCGTTTTCTTTTCAGGTTGCTAGGCAATCACTCTACTCGGAGCTATGCCCTCAGCCTCTTTCTTCACTGTTCCATTCACTACATGAAAACCCAGAAGCATTCATTAAGGAAAAGAACAAGGGAAGTCAGGAGGCAGATTCAAGTTTCTCCATTAAAAAAAAAAACAAAAACAACAAAAAGCCAGACACACTAGTACCTGCCATGATCCCAGCACTTGGGAGTTAGAAGCAAGATCAGGAGTCCAAGGTCAATCTAGCTAGTAGCAAGCCATCATGAGCTATAGGAAATCCTGTCTAAAAATAAACAAATAATACATAAATATGTACTAATCAAAGCACTGATCAAATGCAAAGGAAAGCAAACAGAATTTTTAACAATAATTTCTGGACACTAATGAAGTAATTATAATATCTGTTCCTTTATTCTATTTTTATCCCCTCCCCCCAAATGCTACACAGTCCATGTGTTATTACATAGTTGTGTAATAATTCAAATAAAAGACAGAAAGGTTTACCAGGTATGGTAGCATGCCTTTAATCCCAGCACTTGAGAGGCAAAGGCAGGCAGATCTCTGTGAGTTCGAGGCCAGCCTGGTCCTCATGGTGATTATCAGGACAGCCAGGGCTATAGAGAGAAACCCTGCCTCAAAAAAAAAAAACAAAAAACAAAAAAACAAGAAAAAAAAAGATTTTGCAAAATAATTCTGCCCGACACTCATGTAACAAAATAAGAGCTTATGTACGCTCTGCATTAGGGCTACAGAAACTTAACAATTCAAGACTTAAGAGTTTTACAAGTGATGATGGATGGATGGATGGATGGATGGATGGATGGATGGATGGATAGATGGACGGACGGACGGACGGACGGATGGATGGATACATACATACATACATACATACATACATAACTTCACATACAAAGAAAGGAAAACAGAAACTTACCCTGCAGAGATGAACATTCAGTAGTGCCGGCAAACCTCACTAAGGAGGTACCACCATTTCCCTAACTAGATTTTCAGGCTGCAATGATTCTCAATTAGGCAACCACAGAAATGACTGTGTTACCCGAGGAGCCTGCTACAACGCCGGTGAATTATGGTATACCTACCACCTGGCAACCCAAAGTAGGCACAAATCCACTGTTCTGTGTAAAGAATTAATAAGCAAGTATCTATGAACCAGCATGAAGGACGCATCTGTTTGGATTCATGGCATTCGTTTATAACAGGGAGTACATCTTTTAACCAAGACCAATGCTTTCTCAACTTTCCTGTCAATTAAGACACAAGCAGCGACCCGTGTAGCAGGCTTTCTTTGAGCCCATCAACCAGCTCACAAATCATGACATGGAGATTTCTTGTTAGTTATGAATGCTCGGCCTTAGCTTAGGCTTGTCCCACTAGCTCTTAGAACTTATTTTAACCTGTGTCCCTTCATCTACGTTTTGCCTCAGGGCTTTTCACCTTTCTTGCATTCTGTATGTCCGACTCGGTATCTGGTTGGCTGGCGCCTGTCCAAGTCATCTCCCTCTCCTTCTCCCTCCTTCTCTTCCTCTCCTCTCTTCTCTCCTCCTACGTATTCTCTCTGCCCGCCAGCCCCACCTAACTATTGACGGTTCAGCTTTTTATTAGACAAATCAGGTGCCTTGGGCAGGCAAAGCAACACATCTTTACAAGTTAAACAAACGCAGCATAAACAAGTGTAACCCATCTTGGCCTAGTTAAAGTAATATTCCATAACAGGCCTGAGCATAGCTGATCTAACAAAGTGAACAGATCCCCAACAATAATTATTTTCCCAGCCAGCAGCAGCAGGGTCCCTTGTCCGCGGTGCTAGTGAAATGTGCAGCAGAATCCATTTACTACAGAGCCAAAGAAGCTGCCCTGCCCAGACTCCAGCCCAACCCCTGCTGTGCAGCTGACTTGGTGCCTGCCAATCCTCAGGTTTCTCCCAGCCTTCGGGCAGTGCTGAGAACTCCCCAACAGCATTTCAAGAAACTCCTTTTTGTCGCTGAATCACCAGGGTTCTCGAAAGGAAAATGGTAAAAGTAATGATGTAATATGGTAAATCCGGCTGCCCATAAAAGGCTCATGCACTTCCTTCTGGAAAATGGGCAATTTCTTGTCGCTTACGACTCAAGACCAGCTCTGAGAACAATGATACGTGTTGTACAAAAATGTCAGAGTGAAATCCAATATTTCGTACAATAAGAAAAGTCAATAAACTTAAAATTTTAAAAAAGAACAACTCTTGGGCTAGAGAGATCTCAGAGGCTAAGAGCATTGGCCGCTCTTCCAGAGGACCCAGGTTCAATTCCCAGCACCCACGTGGCAGCTCACCTCTGTCTGTAACTCCAGTTCCAGGGGGTCCAACACCCTCACATAGACAAATATGCAAGCAAAACACAAATTCACATAGAATTTTTTTAAATTAAAAAAAAAAAATCTCAGGTTGAAGAGATGGCTCAGTGGTTAAGAGCACCGGCTGCTCTTCCAGAGGACCCTGGGTCAATTCCCAGCACCCACAGGGTGCCTCACAACTGTCTGTAACTCCAGTTCCAGGAGATATGACACCTGCACACAGACATACATGCATGCAAAACAGTAATGCACATAAAATAAAAACAATAAGCCATTAAAAATTTTAAAAAGACCATCTCTGATGATATGATGATGATGATGATGATAATAATAATAATAATGGACCAAGTCCATTATTAATTTGTCATTGTTTCTGATCAAAATGTTCTGTTCCACCCACTGGAGAACACAGCAGTCAGTATCCACGAGGAGGCCTACACTGTCCTCACCACTTGATGGTACAGGACTTAGGCGGTAAGCCCTCTGCTATGGAGTGCGGTACACCCACACTCTGAACTCACTCCAAAGTGCAACATAATGAAGGGTCTGTGAGAAGAGGTGTGTGACGTTTGAGGCCAAGGAATGAATTACTTTAACTCCACTAACTTCAAGCTGCTCTCTCCTCAACAAATCACAGTGTGTGTGTGTGTGTGTGTGTGTGTGTGTGTGTGTGTGTGTGTGTGTCTGTGTGTCTGTGTGTGGTGTCTGAATGTCATTGCTATCATTACCAGAAAACAACAAATAAGATTATTATCTGCTAACTTTAAAACGCAAACCAAAGTCTTCAACTGTAAACCAAACAAGAACATTGTGGAAGTCGGATAGTGATGGCCATTGCCTTTGGGAAGTCGAGGCAGATAGACAGGCTGGTCTGCAGAGTGAGTACAAGGGCAGCCAGGACTACACAGAGAAACCATGGGGTGGGTGGGGGGATGTGGAATGAATGGAGAAGCTAGATTACTCCCCCATCTCTATCCACCCCAACCACAGACTGATGAGTCTGGAGTCAAGTACAAAATCAACCTACCTATCTCAGAGTCCTTACCCCCAGTGCATGGTGGGAATCCGGTTTGTGTTGACGGAATACAAATCCTATGAATACGCATGTATGTTATACAATTCTATACATAGTAAATCACCTTACCTTGATACTGTGCTTCCAGACTTCCAAAACACTCACATAAACTGTTGCATCTACACATTGGTCGTGAATTACATTTATCCGCGCAACCACTACATGGAGAAGCACACCGTGAATCCTCCGTATCTTACGCTGCTAAGAGTACATTGTTTGCATCTGTATTCTGCTCTCTTGTTACTCCGTAATTCTCATTTGATCGGCTCTTTAAGGATGTCTTACTCATCTTCCTATGCCTAAGCCACACAAAACCCGGACCATCGAAGTGCACCAAAAACAGCAGGCTTCTCCCTCCTTCCGCAAGACTGGTCAGGTGGGGCCTCAGTTCTGAACCTGACGTACACACCCCTGCCCCTTCCCACACCCACCCACCCACCCCTTGCCACTTCTTATTTCCACAACCGATGAAGCTCGTTGCACAAGGTATGGATGTTTTGTTCCCTAGCAAAATTATCTACTGCCCAACGCTTCTCCTTCATCTGCACCACTGGCTCCCCCAAATCCTGCTGCGGCCCGGGGTGGTGCTGCAGGCACCCCACAGAGCCGACCCCGAGAGGTCCATAGCCACCCGCAGAGCCACGCACCCCAGGTTCGGGCTCCGTACGTACCCCAGGAGACAGCGATCGCAGACTACGCCACGACTCCCCTTGCACACAGTGTACGCCAAAGGGTCAGAGCGGAAGAGCAGCTCCCCGGGGCGTAGTGAGACCACAGCACGCAGCCCATTTCCCCGGTCGGCGGTCTTGAACTTTTCCACCTTCAGTGGCTCCATCCTTCCACAGATCTGCACCTCAGACCCGCACGGCGTCCCTCAGCTCCAGACTCGTGTTTTCTGACTGCGCGCCTGCGTCCTGCGCTTGCGTACACCAGGGGGCGGGGACGAACGCTTGCAGGTCCTGTGAGCATGCGCAGAAGGGCCTAATACAATCTGAGAGTGCTGTCTTCTCGTATTTTATAGTGCGATTTCTTTTTTCTTTTCTTTCTTTTTTTCTTTTGAGACAGAGTCTCAATGTGTGTAGCATAAGCTGTTCTGGAACTCCCCATATTGACCAAGGACCCTCTCTCTTTAGAACTCACAGGGCTCTGCCTGCCTCAGCCTCCTCAGTTCTGGAATTCAAGGTGCACTCCACCACGCCCTACTTATTATGCTAATTTTAATGCATAGAGAAAAGTTGATAGGATCATGGTCGTGACCTGCATATTCACCACCTAGATGAACAGTTCTTAGCATTTGATGTTTCGAATCACACCATCTGTATGTGTGTGTGCCCATATTATTGATGAACCATTTCAGAGAAATGTTTGTCGAACTGTTTGAAAGTATGTTGCAGTCAGGTCTTGAACTCAGGAGGTCTTTATTCTCCACCTCTTGAGTACCAGGATTATGGGTGTAAAATCTCCCAGCAATAGAGGTCTGATGCATGAACAGCTGTTACCTACACCACACCATAGAATTTTTTTTTTTAAGACAAGATCTCTCTTTTATGTAGCTCTGACTGTCCTGGAACTCTGTGTAGACCAGGCAGGCCCTGAACTCACAGAGATCCACCTGCCACTGCCTTGAGGGTTGAGATTAACGGTGTGCCCTGTTACGCCTGCCCACCAAAGGATCTTGTGCACACTTCTCCAGGCCTCCTGGCAATCCTGGAGCCCCACAAGTTGAAGACTAGCCTCAGTAACAGACAAATCCTGTTCAAACTATTTTTTTCTATTAGTGATTTCTTACTTTAATTCGAAAACTCTGTTGATTTGTTTATGGCCACATCTCGCGATGTCACCCTGGCTGACCTGCAACTCTGTGTAAAGCAGGCCAGCTTGGGATTCACAGAGATCTGCCTCTGCCCTGCCCCTGCCCCTGCCTGATCACAGGCCAGCTTGGGATTCACAGAGATCTACCTCTGCCCTGCCCCTGCCCCTGCCTGATCAAAGGCATGGGCCACCATTCCCAGCAATACTCACTTTTTTAGGAAGTAAATTTTAACTTTATTATTGAGTTAGTGTGTGTCTGTGACATGTGTCCATGAGTGTGAGTGAATGCATGCCTAGGTGTGTGTGTAGAAGTTGGAAGACAGTGCTGTGGAGAGGGTCTCACTGATACCCCTGAGCCATATCACCAGCCCATCACTTTTTCACTTACCTGTGTATCCACTGGTTTGTGATCTGGCTGGTGATTTGAATGGCTTTATCGCACTGGGCTTGGTGCTGGGAATAGAACCCAGGACTTTGTATGTCCTGAGTTTGATTTGTTATAAGTAGTTCACTACAAATTCTTTAACGTTACTGTGTGACTTTTCTTAATACAATGTTGAGGCAGGGGGAGTCATCTCACCTTTAAAATCTCTACATGTCTGCCTCTTAGAAATGGCAGGGAAGCCCCCCATAATTCCTCAGTAATAGTTAATAAGACCTGACCACTTACAACAGACATGATAATGTGGTTTATCCTACACACTTTTTAATGTTTGATGTGATTTCTATTCTCAACCCAAACATTCACTTTTATACTTGAACCTGTATTGTTTTGTGGCCTTTTTATGCCGAGGATTGAACTCAGGGCTTTGTACTTGACAGGCACAATTGCTCTATGGGTTAGAGGAATGCCACCTCCAACCCATGTACCATTTTACTGAGCAACAGTCTCGTTATACCAAATAAATGAAAGCAAAGACTCAAATGGATGCATTTCCATCCATGTCCACAGCACAGCAGTATTATTCACAGAAGCAAAAGTAGAGCAAACCAAATGTCCATCGGCAGAGGTATGGAGAGAGAAAACGTGGTACACGAACATGCAAGAATATTATCCTGTCTTTAAAAGGAATGAAATTCTGAGCCAGCTAGATAACTCAGCAGGTAAAGTGTTACAGCCAATTCTGACTGCCTACGCGCTGTCCCCGAGACCCACAGAGTAGAGAGAACCGACTTGCCACAAGAGGGTCCTGTGGCCCCCATACACAGTCTCTCACACAAAAAATAAATGTAATGAAATTGTAAGTGATGAAATCCCCAACATATGTGGCATGAAAGAGAAGCCTTGAAAACATGATATGAGGTAAAATACATCGGATGCAAAGGACAAGTGTGACGAAGCAGACCAGACAAATGCAGAGACCTAGTACAATGGCACTTGGGGTGGGAGCTGGGACGGAGAGAGGAAGGTCACGAAAGCAGCAAATGGGGGTGGAGTTTCTGTTCAAAACAATGAAAAGTTAGGGAAATGCACAGTGGGACTGGACAGACAATGAAATGTGTGTACTTGATTGTTGGGGACACAAAGGTCCTTGTGCCCACAGATCAATAGGGAAACCAGGAATGTTAAACAAAGAGGGGCTTCTTCTCAGTAAAAGAGATAAAATACCTGTTTTCCCACCCAGAAGGCTGGGAGTGGATTATTGCTTGTTTGTTTTTTGTTTTTTGTTTTTTGTTTTTTTGAGACAGGGTTTCTCTGTGTAGCCTTGGCTATCCTGGAACTTGTCCTGTAGACCAGACTGGCCTCGAACTCACAGAGATCCACCTGCCTCTACCTCCCTAGTGCTGAGATTAAAGGCGTGCGCCACCTTTATGTTATCGGTCTGCTGGCATCTTGTTGCTCCTTTGGCAGTGGTGGCTGGCGTCTCTCCCAATTCTGACTTTCTTCTCTCTGTATTTCTGCTTGGATTTCCCACCTGGCTGTAAGCTTTCTTGCCATTGGCCAAAACAGCTTTATCTATTATCCAATGGGAGCCACACATATTCACAGCAAGACATTCCACAGCACCCCATAAACCCTAACTGTAAGTTTAATTCACTATTTTATTAGCAAGAAGTAAATTAAATAGTAGCTATAAATGTTTAGTATAGAATCAGCCAGCAATGTGAGTAATAAACTGAGTGAACAGTTAACTAAGAATTACTGAATTATTTTAAAACTTTTTGATATACCTTCTCAGGAAGCTAAAATATTTTCTTTAAATTTTACAATGATGTATCGTTTATTAACTGCACATGAAACACCAGATTCTTCATTTTTTAATAATCTTAAGTTTCAGTTTTGTAGTTTAAAAGTCATCAGTAATGCCATCAGTAATGCTAATTTTAGTAATTATTACCTTTTTTTACTCTCTTTTTAAAACTTTTTGAACATTTAATTTACTTTTATTATGGGGGAGTGTTTTGCCTCATATATATATATATATATATATATATATATATATATATATATATGTGTGTGTGTGTGTGTGTGTGTGTGTGTGTGTGTGCCATGTGTGTGCAGTGTCTTCTGAGGTAAGAAGAGGGCATTGGATCCTGTGGGACTGGAGTTACAGAGCTGCCATGTGGGTGCCGGGAATTGAACCTGGATTCTCTGAAAGAGCAGCCAGTGCTCTTCATCAAGCCATTTCTCTAGTCCCAATTACTCTCTTCTTACAGTGATTTAAAAATGTAAACCTGGGGCAGGAGAGATGGCTCAGGGGTTAAGAGCACTGGCTGTTCTTCCAGAGGTCCTGAGTTCAATTCCCAGCAACCACATGGTGGCTCACAATCATCTGTAATGAGATCTTGTGCCCTCTTCTGGCCTGCAAGCATGCATGTAGGCAGAACACTGTATACATAATAAATAAATAAATCTTTAAAAAACATGTAAACTTGTGTTAGGCTCATATGTTTGCAGGCTTGGGCCCCAGTTAGTGGAACTGTTTGGGAAGGATTGGGAAGAGTGGCCTTGTTGTAGTGGATGTGGTCGTGTTGGAGGAGGTATGTCACTGGGGGTGGGCTCTGAGGTTTCAAAAGCCTATGCCGTGCTCAGTCTCTCTCTCTCTCTGTCTCTGTCTCTCTCTGTCTCTCTGTCTCTCTCTCTCTCTCTCTCTCTCTCTCTCTCTCTCTCTCTCTCTCTCTCCTTTTCTGTATCAGCTTCCCCATGTTAACTTTCATTCTCCAGCTTTTCCTTAGACAGAGGGCCAAGGAAAAACTTTCTTGTCTAGAAGCTTTAGAATTTCGCAAATAAACTGGGCATGACATCACACACTTGTAATCCCAGCACTTAGGAGGCAAAGTCCTCACTTCATAGCAGCCAGGTGAAAGAGAATGGACCAGAATCCTAATATCCCCTTTGAGGGCACACTTCCAATGACTTAACTTCCTTCTATGAGGACCCACCTTCCAAAGGCTGTCAACACTAACAGGCAGCTAGGAGAAGGTCAGAGCAACCTGTTGCTTTGTTTGGAGAGGTGTGCATGTGCACAGCAATGTAAGTAGGTCTCTCTAGCTGCTAAGAGCATTTTTGGGAAAAGTGCACGTGTGTAGCTCTAGCCAAGCAGGAACCCAGGTTGCCAAACTATTCCTAGGCTTACCTACTATGCTGGCTAGTTTTTTGTCAACTTGACACAAGCTAGAGTCATCTGAAAGGAGGGAGCCTCAATGAAGAAAAATTCCCCCATAAAATCTGTCTGGCCGGGCGGTGGTGGCGCACGCCTTTAATCCCAGCACTCAGGAGGCAGAGCCAGGTGGATCTCTGTGAGTTCGAGGCCAGCCTGGGCTACAGAGTGAGTTCCAGGAAAGGCACCAAAACTACACAGAGAAACCCTGTCTCAAAAAAAAAAAAAAAAACCAGAAAGAAAAAAATCTGTCTGTAAGGCATTTTCTTAATTAGTGATTGATGGGGGAGGGCCCATGCTATTGTGGATGGTGCCATCCCCGGACTGGTGGTCCTGGGTTCTATAAGAAAGCAGGCTAAGCAAATCATGAGGAGCAAGCCAGTAAGCAGCACCTCCCCCCATGACCTCTGCATCAGCTCCTGTCTCCAGGTTTCTGCCTTGCTTGAGTTCCTGTCCTAACTTACTTCAATGATGGACTATGATGTGGAAATGTAAGCCAAAA